CCCTGTATCCATATATCCCTGTATCTCTATATCCCTGTATCCATATATCCCTGTATCCATATATCCATGTTTCTCTATATCCCTGTATCCATGTATCCCTGTATTCATACATCCTTGTATCCATATATCCCTGTATCCCTGTATTTCTATATCCCTGTATCCATATATCCATGTATCCATATATCCCTGTATCCCTATATCCCTATATCCCTGTATCCCTATATCCCTGTATCCCTGTATCTCTATATCCTTGTATCCATATATCCCAGTATCTCTATATCCCTGTATCCCTGTGTCCCTATATCCATGTATCTCTCTATCCCTGTATCCATATATCCCTGTATCTCTATATCCCTGTATCCACATACCCCAGTATCTCTATATCCATGTATCCATGTATTTCTGTATCCATATATCCCTGTATTTCTATATCCATATATCCCTGTATCCATATATCCCTGTATCTCTATATCCCTGTATCCCTATATCCATGTATCTCTATATCCCTGTATCCCTATATCCCTGTATCCATGTATCCCTGTATCTCTATATCCCTATATCCCTGTATCTATACATCCATGTTTCCATGTATCCATGTATCCATATATCCCTCTATCCATGTATCCCTGTATCCCTCTCTCCCTATATCCCTCTCCCTGTATCCCTATATCCCTGTATCCCTATATCCCTCTATCCATATATCCCTGTATCCCTCTCTCCCTATATCCCTCTCCCTATATCCCTCTCTCCCTGTATCCTTATATCCCTGTATCCCTATATCCCTCTATCCCTGTATCCCTGTATCCATATATCCCTGTATCCCTATATCCCTGTGTCCCTATATCCATGTATCCCTGTATCCCTATATCCCTCTATCCCTGTATCCCTGTATCCATATATCCCTGTATCCCTGTATCCCTGTGGCTGATTCCCAGTGGATCCCAGTTTCCTGGGTGCTGGGAAGGTGGGATAAAGGAGGGAGAAGGTCACTTAAAAAGCCCCTAAAAAAGGGATTTTTTGGGTTCAAAGTTGGCAGTTTTGGCTTCCCCGGTTCGAGCAGCTCCTTTGGGATCCCCAAAAGGAAGTTGGACCAACCCTGGGTAACCCTGATCCCGGGAAGGAGGAAGTTTTTTTGGGAGCTGGGTTGGGCTTTGGGGGCTTTGGACCTCCTTTAAAAAAAAACCAACAACAAAAACCTCCATAAAGGGGAAAAAACCCCCCCCAATTTCATCCAGGCCAAAAATATATTTGAATTAGGGAAGATTCTGTGCTGGAAATACAGAAAATTGGGAATCCTGGAACTCCTGAGTGCTGTGGAAGAGCCTTTTGTGTTCTTAAAAATGAATA